GATAAACACGGAACAGCACTAGTGGGAATAAAATGGAAGTCTCGTTGTCGGGCGGTTTTGTTGTCGGTGCGTTCCGCACGAAAACTTCATTGTTTCGCGCTAGAATGGAAAACACGCCCTATCCACCGCCTGCAGTTCAATTTCTAATTTAGTCGGAGGGGGGAGTGGAGCCGCTCGAACGCCGCAAAGTGCACCTAATTGACGGTGCAATTGGGCGGGAGGAAGTGGATTACGTATGATGGAATAATTTTGCTTGGAAGAGGTTCTTATTTTTGGTTTAAATTTCGCGAAGGGAAATCTGAACGAATTAATATCGATGAACCGGTAGATTATTGGTCTTTTTGGTTTTGTAAAGGGTGGGTGTTATGGACGGATCACTTGTTTCCGATTAATTTAAGGGGATCGTGTGAAGTATTTCAGAAACTCGAGGAATTATAAAAACAAACTTACTGAAGTGAAAAATATTCTGTTCTGTGGTGTATGAAAGTCGGCGTCGTGTTTTTTTTAGCGATACCCTGTAACAGGATTAGAACATTTTAGCAATGAATACCTCAGTAATTAATCATCTTAAACCCTATTTGTTATCATACCCTTTTACACAAAATATGATGCTGTATCCGAAATAGAGAAGAAATATTAAGTATTTGATTTAAGAAATTAAAGGTGATCTTCATATCTCAATAAAAAGGTAACGTAACAACACTCGTAAATAATTTTCTACGAGCTATTTGAAATGGTTGTGTTACGAAAGTCACCCTATAGACAATGTTTTAATGAATAAAATATAATGTTTATTTGAATATTTTAACTCGTAAAAACCATTTAGCAAAGTGATTTTTTAACACGTGATTATTTATGGTACCACTAAATAATTACTAATACTACTAATAAACTAGAATAATCTACTAAGAATAATCTACTCGATACTTGGTCCAATAATAAACTTTTTTATCGAAAATCTGGTGAACGAAGAAACAGGATCTAGGTAGCGGTTTTCGTGGATTAATATACGCGGAAAACGAATGCGATACATGTTCAAACGACGATATTTTGATTATACCATCGTCACGAGGTGTTGTATACATATTACACTGTGCCTGCAATTGACGCTCGCGCGTTTTATATTCCACGGCGGACATTTATGTTATACAAAATGGAATATGTCAAAGGAACACCGATACACTGCTGTTGTAGAATTCGATATACGGAATGATATAAAATGAAATCGTTAAAAGGGAGCTTTAATATAGGGGCTGCGTGTGATGCATTAAATCAGCGGGCGAAACAATAAACCAGATTGAATATAGACGTAATTGATACGAAGTGCAATACAAATAGCCCTTTTTCATTTCACTGTCGCATATTTCTGTATTTCAGGACGGAAATTTCCTCTGTACCGGTGGCCAAGTGATTTAACCGAAAAGAGATAGGTATAGAGAAAAAATTCTTAATGAAACGTTAAAATCCACTCGATGTTAATATTATGAAAATTTCGATTAAATATTCTAGAGAATCTCTTGCCACTCATACCAATCATTCCATCCTGGTTACAGAAAATATGACAATCTAATAATAAATCATAGAATCATAGCTGTATTTCATAACTTGCTAAGCAGTTAATATGTGAATATCGGTTAAGATTTTAGTATTATTATAAGTATTATTACTTTCAGAAATGAAAATTGTGTAAATATATAAATATGAATCAACAATTGTATTAACATATTATACAGGACAACTTCAGAATGAAGAATAAAATTTAAAGTGAAGTAAAAGGAGTAAATTTCGCCTTGCAGTTAAAGTTCATCAATAAAATACCATACATTTCTGATAATTGAGCTGGAAAGTTTATAGCATTCCAGTAGGAACGGCGGGAGTTATTTCAGTAACCGATCAATCAATATCCTGCGAGCAGGAGATCGTTCACCTGATTTTCGGGGTTCTATGTCGTCTTGCGGTGGTTGTATATTAATGACCGTTCTGTGCCATACAGTCTGCGTACAATAGAGTCTCTCAAACAATGCTGTGCATCGATTCGGATGACTCAATCAGGATGGGCTAATTCATAGTGATGACGGGTCAGGATGCGTTGTATGTGCCCCAAAGAATATCATTAGCGTTTTCATCGCGAAAATGTTCTTGAAGACGTTGGAAAAATTCCCACCAATAAATCAATTACGTTCTTCTAAATATATTACTTCTTGCCAGATTTAGTATTTATTTTTCAAAATCACAGGAATGTATGCTATCTTAAGAAAATTACTTGTTTTACAATATCCTACTGTATTTAAAGCGAATAAAACATTATAATAATAGAACACTTACTGGCACATTAATATGTTATTTGATTCGTTATTTGAACCAGCTTTGTAATTGTAATATGCAGAGGAAGGATGTGAGACAAGTTGAGAACTGCTGGTGTGCAGTATCACGAATAATCTTTACACCTGTTAGTTTCTCACCGGTGAAATCCTTATTAAACAACTTTCGGTGTTATTTATGGCCGAGAGGGTGTTACTGCTGATATCTATTTAACCTGTGGTTAACCCAATGGGATATTAGAATTTTTTCGTTCCACAAATATAACATGCTTACTTGCAGAAATAACTTAATTTGACGGTTTTGTTTCATTTTCACGCAAATATAGTCGAATAATATATGGATAGTGTATGCGTTAAAGATGGCCTTTATGCCTAGGTAAATCTTCTAATACATATTTTTCATGCAGACGAACACTTTTATCAAAATACTATTTCAGTCTTCAAAATTTCAGAAAAATAAAAAATTGTTAAAAAATTACTAAACTTCTAAATTATTACTATATATTAAATTGAATTGACAAAGGAATTTCCTGCTTAATCCTCAGTATGCAGTATTTCATAGTATCTAGTAACAATTCCCATATGGTACTGAACCAGATACAAATAAACACATAAGTACTTATCTGACAACAAATAAATGCCAAATGAATTTTTCAATTCCATTTAAAATAATTCGATAAACAATCATCCGATGGTAAAAACAGCTCGAAATCAACGGATCAGATTAAAAAAGATTTACACCCGACCGAACTTTCTTCAACTACTTAACGATGAACTCCGCTTAAAAGATTTATTTTCAAATTTCGTTCGATCGATCTCAACCACCTTTCGCTTAACGCATACTTATCACAATTAAACTCGTTCAAAGAGTCCTCCTGGTCTTCCATGGTGTCGATTCACCGTGATCAAAATTAACACACACATACCGAATCCCCAGAATCAATCATTCTAAGAAATCACATCAATGAATTCCACCATATATGTATCAAAACCACGGTATACACCTCTTCGCAGTTGAGCAAGTAAACAAATAAATGAGACAGCCACCCAGTAGAGATATTAGACCAGGGTATAACATTTCTTGACCCCAAATTAAATGAGCATCGTTACGGTGCCAGCGATTTTTTGGCACCAGGTGCCGAACAGATTTCCGGTCTATGGGTGAACTTCCCGGAATAAAGTAGAAAAGCAGCGGGGACAGAGAAGAAGAAGAAGCCAAAGGGGGATGGATGGATGGATGGAAAAAGGTGGAAGCTTCGCAAGCAGTCGAGCGCGCCCCAACCATTCCTTATTGTCAGAAGGGGCCAAGCGTAAGCGCCAGGAACCTTTGGGATAAGGACAAAAGTTTCCTGGCCGGTTTTCCACGGTTTCTCGCCTTTCCGGAAATTCGACGTTTTTATGGGGGTATGGAGGGGAAGCATGGTGGCGTAGGATAGGGACGGTGGCGGGAATAAATAATGTACCACGATATCGAGGGATGATCGCGCGTCGACGAGAGAAATCGAGAAGCTCCGGACACGAACAGAGATATCCGGTTGGGGGAGGGGGGTGGGCCAACACACGGCGTGTCTGGGTAACTTCGCGGACGGATCCGATACCAGATAACACGAAGCACAAACTAACTTGTCCTAACGAGGAGATGATATTTCCCGAGCCATTTACGCGCGATGGTTACCCAATAAATCGAACGCAATAAATGCCACCTCCCCCACCTGGTACTCTGTGTTTGTCTTGTATTGCATCACGTACGGATTAATCCTTTGATTTCCGCGCCAGGCAGACAAGTAGAACTCAGGTCCGAGAAGGTATTCAGAGAATGTGATTATGGAATTCGTTCCGACAAGTGGGATCGACGGCAATTCTCCGCGGAAAAATCGAAATTCCTGTGTAACTATTACGTCAGGGCTGGTTGTGTCGTTCGATGGAAAACAAGCGAGGGAAATCACGGGACGACCTTTATCACCATCGAAACGTTGACAGAGAACTGATCAAACGTCACTCCGTGTTGACCACGGTTAAATACGGTCGATCGAGAGCGTTACTGTTACACGTGTATCGTCGGTGTAAACGGAAAAAAAAAATACGTCGAAACGACCAGCATCAAAATACATCCTCTATCCACTCGGACGTTTTCACTCGGTCCCGTCGAACACGCGGCGCGCCTGAACGCAACCGAGCTCAAACTTCCGAAACTCAAACGGTGATCCTTCAGATTCGTATGCAACCTCATGCAACCTCGGTATTCCACGTAAGTATATCCACTAGAAGCTGCAACCATGCTAATCACCACTCTGTCGTTCACACATCTCCACCAGAACGCGGAAGAGAGATTTGGAGAACGCGATCACGATCGTATCCACTAAAGACCGGGAGAGATTTTGAATCGGTGCGCGTTGATTTGTCAGGCATCGTGCAACTATGCTACCGTTCATCGTCACCTGTCGACAACGATACAGCGAGGTATACTCGAAAAACAAACTAGACTCACAAAGAGACTCAATGGTCCGAGACACATATATCGGTGATCGTGCTCCAAGCTTCTCTTCACGTAATAGACAGAACACACATACACACACGTGTCACTGGGCCATTCCTGTGCGTTTCTCCAAGGACCAATTCGCGAGTGATTAAATAGATCGATCCACGATCACGCTAGGTCGAGAGCAACGTATCACTGACCTTCCACGAGGGTTGGACGGACGAGTAGCAGCTGCGCGACCACGTGAGACGCCGCGACAAAGAAGGACCGATACGCGCCGGAATCTCGGTGCGGACTGGTATACACGAGCAACGGGCTACCCTCGGTACGCCGGCGACGAGAACTGAGGCCAGAGGGCGAGAAAGGGGGATGACGGTGGTGGTGGTGGCGGCGGCGGTCGGCTGGCGGGAGAGAAAGACCGTGGATGACGCGGCGTGTGAAACAGAGAGAGGGCGCGCGAGAAGCATCCTTTTCTCGATTGCCGTGAGCTTTAGGGTTGGTTCGCATGCGCCCCGCCGGGTTCACGTGCCCTCCGCCATCGCGAACCATAGGACCCGCCTTCCTCGTACGAAAGACACGTTCCCAGGTTAGCGAAAAACACACGTAGACATAGGTTCCGCCGTTGCCGGCAGCTCTAAGGAATCCAACCGCGAAAGTCCCCCTTAAGACTGATAGACGGCCGGGTAGATACTCGCTCTTCCCTTTGCTTCGAGCAACCGGGCGTTTCGGTGCGCGCAGTTTCGTTTGATGACACTGTGCCATTTACGTGACTGGTTCTACTGGTCTTTCCTTTTTTTGGTCAATTGATAATGTTACTGGGGGAGACGTGATTGGTTCAAGTATTATACTTTATCCAATGGGTCGAATCAGTGACTATGAGCAAAGGAAGGTGATGATCATTTAGGGACAGCGACAGATATCTTGATTTCTCATATGTATACAGGGTGTAACAAAAATATTGGAGGACCCGGAAATTAGAGACCCGCGAGGTGATTTGAAACATGTTTTTCCTTAGCAAAAATGTTATCCGAGGCTTTGTTAACGAGATATTAACGAAAAACCCCGACCAATTAGAGCATGAGTCTACCAGCAGAATTCTCGCGGTAACGTTGGCTACCAATCGCAGCGCGTAGCCAACGTTACCGCGGGAACTCGGCCGGCAGACTCGTGCTCTGATTGGTCAGGGTTTTTCGTTAATATCTTCTTAACAAAGCCTCTGACAACATTTTTGCTAAGGAAAAACTTGTTACAAATCACCTCACGAGTCTCCAATTTCCGGGTCCTCCAACATTTTTGTTACACCCTGTATATTGTGTGTGGTAATGTGTATACAGTAAAGCGTCGAAGTGTGTTTGAAGTCTTCTCGGCACTGAACATTAAATATTTCATAAACTAGTGGCCATATCCCGCTCAAACAAACATCATTGGCTTCAGAATTCCATGCTCTATCACTGTGCTAAACCTCCTTAAAATGTCAGTGTTACACCCCTGGAAACTTCTCCATGTCAATGTGGAGGAACTTTGGAACACTCATCGATGATTTATTATACAGAGTGTTCCACGTAAGTGTCGACACAAAATTTCAGGATTTTCTTGCACTTTAGAAAAAATTATATTATACAAGAGTTGAATTATACTTAAACGCGCATAACTTTGTTAAATCAGTCTTTTGGTGTTCGTTTTTTTTTCAAGGAAATGGATGTCACACAAAAAGCACCAATAACGTAAAACTGGTTAACTGAGTCACTTCTGTTTAACTCAATATTTTGTAAAGTTCAAGGAATGTCCTGAAATTTCGTGGCGACACTTAAGTGGGACACCCTGTATATTGTATTTATGTAGAGCTAGGTGTATATACAGAAAGGCGTAAAGGGCCTGACTTTTGAAGAAGATATACAATGACTGGTGTACTGAATCAAAATGACCTTGCACCCGATATACAAGCGTTTAACAATAGTTGAAATATTATAAGAGGAATTAAGAAATTATGGTCAACATTTTATCGATTGCAGTCGTAGATGATGAAATGTAAATTCTTGTAAAGTGATTTTAATTTTTACCTAGTTACTGATTTTTTTTAACAAAAATGGATAATTGTACAATAAAAAATTTCCCAGATCTTTGAAGCCATTACTTTTATGCTCTCAATTACATTCATTAGTGTCAAGTGGTGTTAGTTAATTATGTTTAATCTCGATTTCACTTTCACGCCGAAAGATAAATCATGCAATTGCACGAAAGTCTCGCGATTTATGCCGCTTGAAAATAGCCTGAAATCACTTCTTAGTCGACCGATGAAAAAGATTATCCACTTTTCCCTGTCAGAGGGTTAGATTAGGTTCGTGATTCAGATCCGCGGGACCGTGGAAGGTACAGTGAGTGCTTCGCCAGACCGCCGATCAGTCAGTCGATATCTCTAATCATCGATTCCTTACGACGTAGATCAGGTTGTAACGGTCGGAGAATACGAAAACCTTTCCGTCCATCTGACTCGGTACGAAGTACAGGGTGCGAATAAACGATACGTGTATTTTGGGAATCACGGTACTTAGAAGACTGAAATCAGTATCATATAAATACACCGAACAATCACTATTTAATAAGATACTAGAAAATAGCTTCGTACCTTAAGTATTTATTTATACTTTACATCACAGGGTGTGCATTCAAGATCGTGTTAAAAATGATAAGTGATTTCTCATGCAAAACTAGGTAGAAATATTCTCATACAGAAGATCAGTTTTCGAAAAAATTGAATTTGAATATTCGTAGTTTCCACTCGGCTCCCGTGTCTGATCATTACGCACCACTTCTACTTATTTCAAGTATAAATACGTGCGTACCGGATATATTTCTCATAGTTGATTTTTAAGGAAACCAATATCATTGGCTTCAAATTTCGAAGCTCTACCACTGTCAGTGCCGAGGAGCCTTCGAACACTCATCGAGGATTTTCTGTAGTTCGTGTACAAGATGATCTACTATACTTTCCAACCTTCACAGATGTAACAACACTTAACATGTTGAAACACACCTATATATTTCCCACTAACCTAATAATATACATTCCGCGGGGTTAAATTTCTACTATAAACAACAGAACAACATTCCTCTGTAACTTCCGTCAATAACAAAACCCAGGGAGCTAACGACGCGCATGAAGATGTCTGAACGTGTGGACGGATGGCAGTGTAGTGGAAATCTCGTCGACTTAACCTCGCCAATGAAAGCAGTCGAGGGGAGAAAGAAACACACAGAGAGAGAAGGACGCATCGAAACGGAGCAGGAAACGAACGAAAGAAAGAGAGAGAGGGCACGGAGGAGTTAGAAACACGTTTCGCTTCCTGCCGTCACCTTGAAGCCATCTCTTACCGGTTTACGAGGACACCCTCGCGAAACTTTTGGTACACTCGCACTTAAAGTCATTCTTCGAAATAGTGCGATGTAGGTACTATAATGTCTGTTACGAATACTAGCCTGTCCTGGTGGTGGTGGGTTGAGTTTTATGACTTGTGCGCTACTTTCGCATGCCACCGATCCCGAAAGACGCGAAACGTTTAAACTCTTCCTGAAAACCTTTTTCGGATGACTTTCCACTCCCCCGCCATCACACACCTCGACACCAACCCGACATTGCTCGCCAGTCGGAGTTTCAAGGCGAGTTTTCTATCGCTTCGAACGGATCGCCTGGTGGCGAGCTAACCCGTGCACACGTTTCGGATCGCTGTGATGCCTCTTTATAGCAGCAACTGCTCGGAAGTTGCGGCACGATTATACAGAGTGGTTGATACGATTCCGCGATGGTTTCGTCGCCTGACTATTGATTTATTAGGCGCAACCAGATCTGGGCAAATTATATTTAAAATGAATTTAAAAAATAATTATTTGAAATATTTCGGAACTTTATTTTCGATACTGTTATTTAAATATAAAAATATTATCGATTCATTTGAAATAATAGCAATTTCAAATAATGAATTATTTTGTTATTTTTCACTTCAAATTTGGCAAAAGGAATAATACACAAAATAATATCGAATAAAAAGGTTTTAGTTGACAAAGTCTTTACAGCAATTTACTTTAAGCAAAACTCGCTCTTCACGAAACTCATCCGTGATAGATTTCTGCTTGGGAATTGTAGAAATTTGTTACAATTATAAGTTTTAGAATTAATATAATTTGGAATTAATCCAGAAAAACAGATACTCAAGTGTATTCGTATTTTATTAATTACTCGTCGCCGATATGGTAATGGTAGATATTATTACAAATGTGCATCATAAAATATAATGCATGGTAATAAAATTCATGAATCTTTAAACAAGCATAGAATTGTGTATTCTATTAAGTATTGAGTAAACTGTAGTTATTCATTATTATGTATTTTTCGGAAGTATTTCTGAGCCTAGATTTGAAACAATACAATTGACTGCGTTTTCTATCAATACAATCGTCCAGTATCACTATCGATGAATTTTGCAATTAAAATATTTCCTTCTAATACATATCCATCGATTGTCGAGGGCGACGAAATTTAAAGGGGAGCTTCAAAGATCGTTAGCCCTCATAACCATGAATTTTACACGCATCTATGAATATTCTATGAAATAAATTCAGATTCCCGCTTACATTAACAAATTTTATGGAACTAGAAATGATACGTCGGTATTAAAACTATCCTCCTTTATTTCTGCATTGACAATAACGCATACCATTCACAATACATGCATTATAATTCCTAAAGCTGTCGTTTAATTACTATAATTTTAATACAAAAAATATTAATTCAGTATTAATCATTACGTTATACGTTATGTTACACTACATGAAATTTTGAAAACATGATTGTTTTATTACATTATCAAAAAAGAAAAAATAGGAACAACACAATTGCAAAGTCCAGATTCCCCTAGAGAATAACCATTTTTAATAAACTTTGCACGTCGAGTGTGAATCACGCCTTTTCTGTACCCTTAATTTTAAACGCGTTCTATTTGCCAGCCTAAAATATCAGCAGATTTTGGTCTTGCTTTCCCCCGTTCGCGAATTTAACGCATTTTTCGCCGTGATTGCCAGGAAATACGCGTTTAAGTTTACAGGAACCGCGCGCGTGCTGGAATTCATAGTGCCGTTCCGATGCCGTAATAGAAGCCAGCGAGATAACGTTTCGCATTAGGGAGGGAGGGAAAAAAGTGCTCCTCGAGGAAACCGTTACCCCGGGTAGGGCCATTCTAAGATCTGCCAAGGATCTAAATTCAGCTGTGTTTCCTCAGCATTTCAGATAGAAGGACGTCATACATTAAACATCCCGAGGCCAATGCGAACACCAGCGCGCGATCTACA